GAAGGGGGAATATTTTTCTCAGTTAAAAAACTGGTTTTGACTAGGAAAACGCTATTTTTCCGACACTCGTACAAACGGCTTGGTAAGCAAATCTTATATTTATGTCAATTTTTATACTGTGGGTGTATGTATCATGTTTATATGTTATGCTGCATTTTTTTTTTTTTAACAAGTCGGCCGTCTCCCACCGAGGCAGGGTGACCCAAAAAAGAAAGAAAATCCCCAAAAAGAAAATGCTTTCATCATTCAACACTTTCACCACACTCACACATAATCACTGTTTTTGCAGAGGTGCTCAGAATACAACAGTTTAGAAGCACATACGTATAGATACACAACATATCCCTCCAAACTGCCAATATCCCAAACTCCTCCTTTAAAGTGCAGGCATTGTACTTCCCATTTCCAGGACTCAAGTCCAACTATATGAAAATAACGGTTTCCCTGAATCCTTCACTAAAATATTACCCTGCTCACACTCCAACAGATTGTCAGGTCCCAAGTACCATTCGTCTCCATTCACTCCTATCTAACACGCTCACGCACGCTTGCTGGAAGTCCAAGCCCCTTGCCACAAAACCTCCTTTACCCCCTCTCTCCAACCCTTTCGAGGACGACCCTACCTCGCCTTCCTTCCCCTATAGATTTATATGCTTTCCATGTCATTCTACTTTGATCCATTCTCTCTAAATGACCAAACCACCTCAACAACCCCTCTTCTGCCCTCTGACTAATACTTTTATTAACTCCACACCTTTTCCTAATTTCCACACTCCGAATTTTCTGCATAATATTTACACCACACTTTGCCCTTAGACAGGACATCTCCACTGCCTCAACCGTCTCCTCGCTGCTGCATTTACCACCCAAGCTTCACACCCATATAAGAGTGTTGGTACTACTATACTTTCATACATTTCCTTCTTTGCCTCCATAGATAACGTTTTTTGACTCCACATATAACCTCAATGCACCACCCACCTTTTTTCCTCATCAATTCTATGATTAACCTCATCCTTCATAAATCCATCCGCGACCGTCAACTCCCAAGTATCTGAAAACATTCACTTTCCATACTCCTCCTCCCCAATTTGATATCCAATTTTTCTTTATCTAAATCATTTGATACCCTCATCACCTTACTCTTTTCTATGTTCACTTTCAACTTTCTACCTTTACACACATTCCCAAACTCATCCACTAACCTTTGCAATTTTTCTTTAGAATCTCCCATAAGCACAGTATCATCAGCAAAAAGTAACTGTGTTAATTCCCATTTTGAATTTGATTCCCATAATTTAGTCCACCCCTCTCCCGAACACCCTAGCATTTACTTCTTTTACAACCCCATCTATAAATATATTAAACCATGGTGACATTACACATCCCTGTCTAAGACCTACTTTTACCGGGAAGTAGTCTCCCTCTCTTCTACACACCCTAACCTGAGCCTCACTATCCTCATAAAACTCTTTACAGCATTTAGTAACTTACCACCTATTCCATATACTTGCAACATCTGCCACAATGCTCCCCTATCCACTCTATCATATGCCTTTTCTAAATCCATAAATGCAATAAAAACTTACCTACCTTTATCTAAATACTGTTCACATATATGCTTCAATGTAAACACTTGATCTACACATCCCCTACCCACTCTGAAACCTCCTTGCTCATCTGCAATCCTACATCTTGTCTTACCTTTAATTCTTTCAATTATTTAAACCTACCGTACTCTTTTCCTGGTATACTCAATAAACTTATTCCTCTATAATTTTTACAATCTCTTTTGTCCCCTTTCCTTTATATAAAGGGACTATACATGCTCTCTGCCAATCCCTAGGTACCTTCCCCTCTTTCATACATTTATTAAACAAAGTACCAACCACTCCAACACTATATCCCCCCCGCTTTTAACATTTCTGTCATGATCCCATCAGTTCCAGCTGCTTTACCCCCTTTCATTCTACGTAATGCCTCGCGTACCTCCCCCACACTTACATTTGCTCTTCTTCCCCTCTAAAAATGGTATACCCCCTGACCAGTGCATGAAATTACCGCCCCCTTTTTTCCTCAACCTTTTAAAAGTTCCCCAAATTTCGCCTCTAAACCCAATACCCCCCTTTTCCACTACAAATCCCCTCCCCTGTTTTTTTAAATGACAAAACCCCTACTTTCCCTGGCTTTCTTAAAAGTTTTTAACTCACTCCAAAATTTTTTTTATTTTCATTAAAATTTCTTTTACAGTGCCCCCCACTATCATCTGCTCTCCTTTTGCACTCTCTCCCCCTCTCTTCACCTTTCTTTTTTTTCTCCATTTTACTTGCTTTTTTTATAACACTTTTGCTTTGTAAAAACCTTCCCAAAAACTAACTTTTTCTTTTTATACACCCTTTACTTCATCATTCCACCAATCACTCCTTTTCCACCTGCCCCCCCCCTCCCATAACCAAACTTCTGCCCCACTTTAATACTGCATTTTTTAAAAATATTCCAACCCCCTTCAAAACCCCCCCCAATCATTTTGACTAGCCCACCTTTTTGCCAACAGTCGCTTATATCTCCCCCCAATTCCTCCCCCCTTGTTTATACACTTTCACCTCCCTCTTTTTTGTTTTTGCCACCTTCCCCTTTTCCATTACCCCTTACTTAACGTAGCACAATAAATAATGATCGAATATCAGTTCCCCCCTTTTAAACAGTTCATCGGAGCCTACCCATCAACCTTTTTTCCACCAATACATAATCTAAAAACTACTTTCTTACGTCTACATCATACCCTTTATTTTATCCTTTTTTCATAAATACTATTACTTATTACCAAATCTCTTTCTACACATAGTCAATTCAAGGGTCCCATTTCATTTACCCCGGCACTCCAAATTTACCTACTACTCCCTCCATAACATTTTTACCCACTTTAGCATTGAAATCCCCAACCACCATTACTCTCACACTTGATTCAAAGCTCCCCACGCATTCACTCAACATTTCCCAAAATCTCTCTCTATCCTCTACACTTCTTTCTTCTCCAGGTGCATACACGCTTACTATAACCCACTTTTCACATCCAATCTTTATTTTACTCTACATAATCCTTGAATTAATACATTTATAGTCCCTCTTTTCCTGCCATAGCTTATCCTTCAACATTATTGCTACTGCTTCTTTAGCTCTAACTCTATTTGAAACCCCTGACCTAATCCCATTTATTCCTCTCCATTGAAACTCTCCCACCCCCTTCAGCTTTGTTTCACTTAAAGCCAGGACATGCATGTTTATTATATAACATGCATGTTTATTATATAATTTTGAAAAAATATCATAGCTGGATTAATGGAAATGTCTATATTAACGCAATATATGACATTTAATGCGCCCAAGAGATTATATAGTGTCAGGGTACAGTGGAACCTTGGTATGTGACCTTAATTCATTCCAGAAGGGTGTTCGAGTGCTGCTCCATTTGAGCATCGAAGAAGTTCTTCTCAACCAATTTTCTGTTTAGTTGGCTGTTGTCACTAATCGTCGTAGACCCATGGTGACTTATTTATACAAATAATACAAAGAAAACACCAAGAAATGTGAAGAAACACGAAATACAGCCTCCCCACTTAACGACGGAGTTTCGTTCCTAAGACCACGTCGTTAAATGAAGTCGTCGCTAAGTGAGGAGCATATTATAATGATGGTGAGTTTATGTCAACCATCTTTGATATTGTTTTAATGTCACCTTTGCACCATTTATACATTTCTGGTATATTTTTAAATGTTTATACAGTAATGTACTGTATTTTGAAATAACCAGAATAGAGGAAATCAGCTCTAATATACATTATTTAGGTATAAATATGGTGAGAATGCCCTGTCGCAAGTCCGAGGCGTCGGTAAACAAGTACTTTGCTAAGTGAAGAGAGGCTGTAGTATACAGCGAAGTTCTGGCAGGTCGTATTTGTTTGGTCAAGTGCTGAGCTTTGTTTGAGTAGGGAGCTGGTCATATACCAAGGTTCCACTGTGTATGTAAAATATGCAATAACTTTAAAGCACTTGAAATTTTGGAAAAATTCCAGACATAATAGAGATGTGCTCATGGAGAATTTAAAACAAACCCTACTATACTCCAAAAATTTTAACTTTTAATAAAAGTCATACTGAACTGTAAATAAATTTATTTTAAACCCATTTTTCAAAAGCCCTTCTATAAATATACTTACCTTTTATGATTTTCTGTAGTTTGTCTGCAGATCTGAACAAAGAGCTCATCTCTTAGTCCAAGTGTATTATAACACATAGTGACAATGTCTAGACCCACTGAATTAAGAGTCATTCCAGGTTTTGGCTTCCGGTCACTCATGTAGATCTGAACCAGTCTGAAAAGCTCACATGCTTGGTTTTTCACAGATTTGTCCAAAGTGGCTAACATAGGTTTTCGAATTGGATCCTGAAATAATAAATTACAATATAAATAGAATATTTCAATAAGGTAAAACAATTTGAATTGGTAGGATTAAGTATATAAAATTCAATAATGCCACTTTACATTACTGATACAAACAAGAGGATATGCTTGTCTTTTTTTCTATCTAGCTTTGTTGTTATTTTTATTATAATATTCATGTTAAGCACTAAACCCACTTTGGTCATTCAAAGCAAGGAGTGCTGGAGGCTTGATCCTCCATCTGCTAGTCACAGCCCAGTCTCTGACCAGTTAGGTTGTTGGTGATGCTAGGAGAATACTGAAGAGAGAGAGAGAGAGAGACAGAGAGGTGTGGGAAGGGGGGGGGGGGAGGCAGGACGTGTCACAGTGTGCTACACAAACTTTCTTAATATTACTTAACTACGAATAGGTAGTAGGTTGGTAGACAGACGAAACCGCCGCCAGTAGTGTATGGTAGTGATTGGCTGGTGTCCTTTTTTCTGTCTCATGAACATGCAAGATTTCAGGTATGTCTTGCTACTTCTACTTACACTTAGGTCACACTACACATACATGTACAAGCACATATATACACACCCCTCTGGGTTTTCTTCTATTTTCTTTCTAGTTCTTATTCTTGTTTATTTCCTCTTATCTCCATGGGGAAGTGGAACAGAATTCTTCCTCCGTAAGCCATGCGTGTTGTAAGAGGCGACTAAAATGCCGGGAGCAAGGGGCTAGTAACCTCTTCTGTATATCTTACTAAATGTAAAAGGAGAAACTTTTGTTTTTCCTTTTAGGCTACCCCGCCTCGGTGGGATACGGCCGGTGTGTTGAAAGAAAGAAGAAGACTTAACTACGAGGGTTGGCAAGGAAAAAAACTGTTCAGTGACATAGTACTAACCTACAAACATTAGTACAAGTAAGCCATCTCCTCCATAGAAGTGAATATAAGCAAAATCAGTGATACTTAAGAGTGTTTTGATGAACAATGTGGTGAGAGTGAGGGGACAGTGGCAGGCCTAGTAACTGACATCACTATTGCCTTCACAGTGAGCATCTAATTTGGTGCTATGTACTAGCATCTGGGTGCTTTATAACAACATGACTTGTACAATGTAACATAGTAATTTGTGCTAACATCTTCCTGTAGTGAAAATGTGGATAACATAAACAGTTGTTTATTAAGTGATAGTGAGAAGGCAACACTCCCAGCTTGCCAGCCCACAGCCTGCCCTCACTGCCCACCCCATTATAAACACCCCCATGATACCACCACCCTCTCTTTCCTGTGTACTTCATTGTAAACTTACAAAGCTTCCTCTGTGATGACTTCACATTGCAAAATAGCAAGAATATCTTCGCTATCTGGCTATTGTCCCCAGTAGATACTGCAGTGTTTGTGGGTATACTACAAAGGACAAAATACTTCTTATATGTAAGGAGCCTACTTTTTCCAATTACTGCCACACAGATTGCATTCTGGAAGAATTTTGTTGCAGCCAGGTAGAAAATCTCAGATAATTGAAGGATATCCATAATCCTGTGGTATATGTGGAAACAAGCCTGGAGCTACAAGAGGAAGGTTCAGATGTGTGGTAGCACTGGGCATTGCTGGTGCTTTCGACCAAGTATGGCACCAGGGCCTCTTGGCAAAACTGCAAGCACTGGGAATTGTGGGTTCTATGCTATGTCTCCTCAGTGATTACCTTCATGGTAGATCTCTAAGGGTAGTTCTCAATGGAATAGAACCAGCAAGACATCCTATTGGGGCAAGTGTTCCACAAGGAAGTGTGCTGAGACCATTGTTATGGAATGTCTACTTCAATGACCTTCTTCATCTCATCCCAGAATCCCATGCATGTGCAGATGACTGTACTCTGATGTTCACTTATCCAAGAGAAGAAATGCCAGCTGCTCTTAGCTACATCAATCACCAGCTAAGAGCTGTATCAGCTTGGGGAAACCAATGGCAAGTAACATTTGCACCTGAGAAAACACAAATGATGATGGTCTCTAGGCACCATGATGGTAATGCTAGTGCAGTAGTATGAATGGGAGGGTGTTGGTACCTGGGGAAGAAGTTGATATCCTTGGGGCGAAATTTGACTCCAAACTGACCATGAAAAACCACGTAAATCTTGCAAACAAGGCAGCCAGGAAGCTTACAGCACTTCGCTGTATCTCGCATCTGCTTGACAGTAGGGATTGCAAGATCCTGTATGAGGCACAAGTACTCTTCTTCTTCTTCTTCTGTTGGGTTTCAGGGCCACTGACAGCATACGCTGTATCGAGCCCCGCCGTCCAGTGCTAGGAGAGGGGATATCGACCAAAGTGGAAGAATGTCTTGACTAATAACTATGTATCATATGTCTCTGATACGCCCCGAATCCAGCAGGAAGGAGCAGGTACAGGCCAATATCTCCTGACGGTCCAGAGGGCAAATCCCCTCCCCATTGAGGAGGGCAGGTAGAGTGAAAGTGTGCACCCCATGCGTGCGCAAGGCCGCACGGATAGTAGTCCGTGCAGTGATAACGTGGGCACCACAGCAGGAAGTGTTCCACCGTCTCAGGCTGTGAGGGACACCATGGGCAGATGTCTCCTTTCACCTGGACCCATCCTGGATAGATCTCTCATTTCAGCAGAGCCTTCAACACAGGAGGGATGTGGGTGGCCTTACTGTTGTGTACAAGGCCATCATTGTCAAAGTACCACACTTGGATCCACTTCGAGGACAGCGTGAAGCAAGCTTCTATACCACAAGACAGGCAGAAAGCAGCAACTTCACTCTGGGTGTACCCTTCTCCAGAACATCACTTCATCTGAGATCATTTATCCCCACGATGACCTGAGTATGCAACACATTTGTACAGCATTATGATGTCAACGAGATAAAGTCAGTTGATCAGAAGAAAATGCTGGCCCACAGATGGCTCCAACTTCATCCTGTTCCCTACTTGTATGTCTCATAACAATAAAAATGCTTTCAAAGGAGCTGATGTAGGTAACAGCTCTTAGCTTGTCAATAAAGTTAGGAATCCTTAACCTGTAAATAGCTTGTCAATAAAGCTAGGGATCCTTAACCTAACCTTGTAAAACTCTGTAAAAAAAAAAATCAATCAATCTTTTCCCATAGTTTTGTGTCTGCATTGCAGCAAGGTCAATTGTTTCTTTCCATTTATGATACGAAACCAGAAGGTGGAATCCTATGATAATGTTTTCTTGTGCTCACAGTTTGACACTTTTTTTTTTTTTTTAAACTCATTTTGCTCCTTCAAGAGTCATTAGTAAACATCTGAAGGCAGATGAAAAGATGTAGGAAGAATGTGGCAACCTTCCTTAAAAGAGGGCTAGTTGCAATCATGTCATATAGCGGAGCCGCAAACATAAACCATTCATGAGATGCAACTGTTTTCTTATATAAACATCTTACTACTGGTTCTGTTCTGTTTGTATTAGCAGAAAATATAAAATAATAACTTTTGTCAATAAATAAGCTTATACCAATGAAAAATTAATACCTAGACAGCTACATGTAAAAATTTATTACTACAAAATCTAGCAACACATACCTTGGTCCACGAAATCATGTCTATGACAGGAACTTTTTTTCGTAAAAGACCACGAGTATGAATGTTGAGATTTTCCTGAGCATATTTTTCCATAAGATTGTGTCCATCACCTCCACCAGTACTGCTGCTATACCGCTCAAAGTCAGACTCCGAGGGAGGCTTTTTCATAAGAGAAAGTGCAGTCATACCCTGTAATGAGTTAAATATATTCAATATTTATTTTCATCACTATTATGCAAAAATTATGTTTGTCAAAGTACAGTGGTCATTAATATATGTCTATGTGAAAGATGCACACACTGTACCTGACTTAGTGAGGTGCTCCCTAATAAATAGTATTTTGGTGCAGCTTGGTTCAAAGCCTTGTATGTTAGCAAAAATGAAAAAGTGTATATTAATGCTTTTTTTTTTTTTTTTTGCATTAATTTCTGCAGGTCTGATGTACCAACCACAGACTTTATTTCCAATTCAACATGCCTCAAAGGTGGTGATATATTTTTTTCATTCCTTGCCATTCTTTTTTCCTTTCTGGAGCTAAAAAAAATCTGGTCTGCATGATTGTAACTATGTTTAATTTGATGTTCATATGGCTTAACTCTCCTCATTTCCATCATGTGGAATGTAGGACAGTTTGTACTGTATCATTTTCTTCAGTACTATAGTAAAACATCTTTGGAAGAAAATATTTGCAGGAATGACATGAGTAACAATGAAGAAGCTAAACAAAACCACGTTCAAAGCACACTTCATTTCATATATGTGACAAAGCTATAAGGATAGTATTGTAGAACACCATAAGCAGTATATTTAGACTGGTATTAGAGCTATGGGGAATGAACTAAGAAGCACAAGGATGTAGAGTTTTGTTGGTGTCCTGGGAAATGAACAGGCGGATACCAAGCGAAGGCTGCTGCTGTAGTGAGCCCACTTACTGTAGGTGTTTGCCTTACGGTGACTTCATGGGTCTTACTCACAGATATGCAGGCCAGTGGGTTCTGTACACCAAGAACAAGTTATACAGGGGTAGGCAGGAAATGGGTGTTTAGCCTTCCTTCAACAGCCTCATCACTTTGAGATGAAGCTCTGTTGACTTGTAGACTGGGCACACACATCTCACTCATAGCTACCATTTCCCAGTGTTTGTCCCCTGCTTTGTGTAGCTTGTGACATGCTGTTGACTGTGGATCATATTTTAACAGTTTGCCCTTGGCTTAGGCCTTTTTGCCTTTGGCATGGCTTTTATAATTATCGAGGTGCCTGTAATGACCTTAGGGAAATTTTAGAAGTTTTTTTTTGACATTACATGACTTAACAATGGAGTTCTGTTACTAAGACCACGTTGGTAAGTGAATTTATCACTAAGTGAGGAGCATACTATAATGGTAGTGGGTTTGTGTTGGCCATCTTTGACATTGTTTTAATGTCACCTTTGTACCATTTATAACATTTCTGGTATGTTTTTAAATGTTTATACAGTAGTGTACTGTATATTGTAATGAAAAGAGCCCGTCTTAAGTCCGAGTTGTTGGTAAACGAGTATTTTGCTAAGTGAGGAGAGGCTGTATTAATTTAATGAGGTTTTTAATTGATGCCAGTTATTTTAATTTAACATGATAGCACATATTTGTATTGAGTATTTGTCTGTTGCTTTATTATATTTTTTTTTATGCATGAGTGACCTACTTTGTCTAAGTGCTATGTAAATGTCACAACTACTACTACTCACTAGAAGAATAAAGAACTAAAGGGATTATGATCACAATATCAGGCAAAGTAGGCTGTAGTTAAAACTAGTTTAAAAGTAGAATAAGACAGCACAGGGAAAAAAGGAAACATTGCTTCAATGTAAGTGGTAAAGAAGTGGGATAAACTAAACACTGACTTTATTAATATAAGACCATATGTGGTTCATAAATAGATATGCTGCAGCTATTTCCTGTCATTTGCTTGAAAATCACGAGGTAGAGGTGAGAGCTAGCACATACAATACTCCCGCACAAACTCAAATAGGTAATTACAATGTGTAAGTGCATGGCCATCATTACCCAAGTTAGGAGTATTAATTAAAACAAAGTGCAATTATTGCCATTAAAGGGCCTAACAACCTCCCCTGTACAAGAAGAAGGATTAACAAAAACTCATGTAACTAGCCTGAGGTGGACGATGGAGTGAACCTGTGATGGGGTTGGTGGTCAAAGCTGAGTCCATCATGTTGGGGATAGATATAGACAATGGACGGTTGCCCAACTGGCCACTGTTGCCATCACGGTTACTTAGCTGATAACACATTGCATGAAAATCTTAAATAAGTAAAGCAGAATTACAAATAATGAAAAGCAATACATACAATACAGTACTTCACTTAGTTTCATATCAGATTGATTCTGAATTCATTTACAAAAATTATTCAAATAAACTTAAGGATGAAATAAGTTTAAAGAAACTAAAAGTTCAAAATGCTGAACAATACTACAAAATAAGCACCAATTACCCAAATAAGTGTGAACTGGAAGCCTGTAATTGTTTTACACAATGGTAGGATTGCTGGTGTCTTTTTGTTCTGTCTCCTAAACCAACACAATAGCAAGTATATCCTGCTACTTCTACTTACACTTGGGTCACCCTACACAGGCATGTACATGCACATGCATAAATGCCCATCTCAGTTTTCTTTCATTTTCTTAATAGTTCTTGTTCTTATTTCTTTGTCTCCAAGAGGAAACGGAGAAGAAGTGTGTCGATATAGCGGCATGGTTGGCCCTCAGAGATGTACCATTGCTAATAGGTTTTCCCAAATCCCTTCATTAATGTTACCTTGCACACACTTCAACAATGTGTTAAGTACAAAAGCTGCTTGCTTCCACTCCTATCTAATGAGCTAACACAAGCCTGGTGGATGTCTGAGCCCCTAGCACTCAAAATCTGCTTTACTCCCTCCTTCCAACCTTTCCTGAGATGACCCCTAACCCTCCTTCCAGCCACTACACACTTATACACCCTCCTAGTCATCCTGTATTGCTCTGAGCTTTTTAAATGTCCAAACCACCTAACAATTCCTCCTCAGCCCTTTGAATAATACTTTTGGTAACCTCGCACCTTATAATCTCCAAGCTCCTAATTCTCTGCATAATATTTACATCACGCATTGTACTCAAACACATCTCCACTGTCTCTAGCCTCTTCTTCATTGCAATATTTAAAACACATGCTTCACACCATATAGGATTGTTGATATCACTATACTCTGGCATATTTTCCTTTTTGCCTTCATGGATAAAGTTCTTTGCCTCCACAGATGCCTTAATGTACCACCCACCTCTTTCATATACCTCCTCTTTTATTTAATTTCCTTGTGCAATTTTCATCCCTCTTTATTCTTTTTGACAGTGTGTGGTACATGACAGTGAGACATACATACACAAATGCATGCACACAGACAGACATGTACTATCCTTGTTTTATATTCCCAACTTTTCTACCTTTTTATTTCCCCACTACCACTCTAATTCAATCACTTTCTTTCCGACTTCATTTTCTTCAACTTATTTAAATTTCTTGAATACTGTATAATTATACATTTTATATTTTATATCTAATATATACAACCACCCAGGGAGGTACTACCATCCTGTCAAGTGTGTGTAAAACAAACCTGTACACAAATAACCTGCACATAGAAGAGAGGAGCTTACGACGACATTTCGGTCCGACTTGGACCATTTACAAAGCCACACTAACCAGAAGTGGAGCAGGATGGCTATATATAGGCAGGAGGAGGAGGAGGAGGAGGAGGAGGAGGAGGAGGAGGAGGAGGAGGAGGAGGAGGAGGAGGAGGAGGAGGAGGAGGAGGAGGCGGAGGCGGAGGCGGAGGCGGAGGCGGAGGCGGCGGCGGCGGCGGCGGCAGCAGCAGTAGTAGTAGTAGTAGTGGGGAACTAAGGAGGAGGAGCCAGTCAAATATAAAGAAAGGGGAGCACTGCAAGGGAGCTAGGTGCCCACAGAGGGAGAGCAAGTGCACAGAGGAGGGGGGAAGGGGAAGTGATGAAATAAATAATGAAGGAACAGAAACACGCAACAGAAGAAAGACAAAAAAGACAAAAAAAGGAAAGAGGAAAGGGGAAGAGGGAGAAGAAGAAGAAGAAAAAAAAAATGAGGAATCAGGTTAAGTCATGGGTGTTCTGAAGTTTGGAGCATTTTACAATGTAGTGGGAGAGGAAGGCATCTACAGAGACGAAGCCAGGGCTAAGATTCATACAAGGAAAGTTGTGTATTAGAGAGGATTCAACAAGACGGCGACTGTTAAAGTTTGGGAAAACAGTTTTAGCAGAAGACCAGTCTATAGGATGGCTGTGATCTCTGACGTGACAGAAAAGAGCAATATTAGTGTCAGCAAGCCTAACACTATTTTTGTGCTCCCTAAGTCTGTCAGAAAGAGATCGACCAGTTTCTCCGAAGTATTGAAGAGGACAGGAGGAGCAAGAAATAGAGTAGACACCAGGAACATCTGTAGAGGGAGGAGAGGTATGAACAAGATTAGTGCGAAGAGTGTTAGTCTGGCCGAAAGTAAGCTTGATGTCTAGGGGACGGAGAGAATTGTTGAGATTAGAAAGACCGGAAATGTAGGGAAGGCAGAGGACAGAAGAGTTCCCAGGAGTAGAGAGTTTGGGAGAGAAGAAATTACGTTTAGCTCGTGAGAAGGCAGAGTCTATGAAATGGGAAGGGTAGCCAAGACGGGAAAACGAATTATGAAGAGTGGAAATTTCTGCTGGAAGGAACTGAGGATTACAGATGCGGAGGGCATGGAGAAAGAGGGAGATAAGAACACTTTTCTTGACAGAGGAAGCATGATAGGAAAAGTAGTGAATGTACATGCCACTGTGCATAGGTTTTCGGTAAACGGAAAAGGAAAAACCTGTATCTGAGCGGTGGACATGGACATCAAGGAAAGGAAGCAAGGAATTAGATTCCCATTCAGCTTTAAACTTAATGGAAGGGGCAAGATTATTAAGAGCTTCAAGAAAAGGTTGGAAGAGATTGGAGTCATGAGGCCACAGAGCAAAGATGTCATCCACATAGCGGAGCCAGAGTGAAGGTTGCACATCGATGGTAGGAAGAAGAACAGTCTCTAAGTATTCCATGTAAAGATTAGCAAGGACAGGAGAGAGAGGAGAGCCCATAGCGACACCGAAGGTTTGAGAATAATATTTCCCTTGGAAGGAAAAGGAATTAGAGTCCACACAGAGGCAGATAAGATCAAGAAAGACTTCAATAGGTATAGGGAGATGTAGAAACCCTTCAAGGGTCTTCTCTCTAAGGAAATCAAGGACATCATCAAGAGGGACATTGGTGAAGAGGGACTCAACGTCAAGACTAAGCATCTTACAGATTGGGAGAGAGCGAACAAGTTCAATGAAGGCTTGAGAGTGACGGAGGTGGGCAGGAGAAAAAGTACCAAGAAAGGGAGTGAGGGTTTTGGCCAACCAAGAAGCAAGAGAATAAGGACAGAACCTCTAGAGGATATGATAGGACGAAGAGGAATATCAGGTTTGTGAGTTTTGGGAAGGCCACAGAAATAGGGAAGAGAGGTTAATGTGACTTTGTAAATGGTCCAAGTCGGACCGAAATGTCATCGTAAGCTCCTCTCTTCTATGTGCGGGTTATTTGTGTATCGTTCCAGTCACGGTACTGTGCCTTTTTTTGTTATTTAACAGAAACCTGTAATTGTTTTACATGATGGTAGGATTGCTGGTGTCTTTTCTCTATCTCATAAACATGCGGGATTCCAGGAATACCTTGCTACTTCTACTTACACTTAGGTCACACTATACATTCATGTTCACGCATACATATTCACACACCCATCTGGGTCTTCTATTTTCTTAACAGTTGTTGTTGTTCTTTATTTCTTCTTATCTCCATGGGGAAGTGGAAAAGAATTTTTAAGAGGTGACTGAAATGCTGGGAGCAAGGGGCTAGTAACCTTTCTCCTGTATAAATTGTTAAATTTAAAAAGAAAATCTTTCGTTTTTCTTTTAAGGCCCACCCTGCCTCGGTGGAAAACAGCTGGTTTGTTGATTTTTTTTTTTTAATATATAACCTTTGTTGTATGTATCTTATTTGGGCACATGTGCATTAACACTGACGTGAGTCACCAAACTAAAGCAGACATTATGAGAGCATTGTATTCTAACTTAACTCTTATTTCTTATTTTTTTTTTTAACTAAGAAACATTAAATCTATTTTTTACAATATGTATTCTAATAACAAAATCTAGGAGTAATGTAATAATGTACATATTGCAATGTATTCCTCAAGGTTCATTATCATATATACATCAGAATACCAGAAATGATACTATTAATAACTAGAAAAGCATATTACTTACCGTTCGTTGTTTCCTCTAAATAATAATGCAAAACAAAATTTAATCATTAATATTTAAGCAAAATTAGTAAAAATCTAGACAAATTACAATTTTGCAACCATATTGGTCCAAAATGAGACAAACTAGCAAAAAAAAAAAAAAAAAAAATGTGAGGAACCAACCTCTCCCTTCTCCAGAATTGGAGAGTATAATGGTTGATGATTTGGAGGATCTTTCTTTCTCCGCAATGATGCATGCTGAGTGTCCAGTGGCAAGCTGTTTGGAGGCATTGGTGGTGTGATGATTGCTCGTGGAGCTGATGGAGTTAAAATTGGTGCTGAGCTTCCTGGTGTTCCGCTGCTTATAGGGGTAGTCGAAGAAGCTGGTGAAATTCTAGATCCCTTGGTGCTCTCTGGAGTGTCCTCTTCTCCTTCTATGAAATATAAGATATAATAATACAAATGAACTGCAAACAAATCATACTTGTGGAGTTTTCTAGTACAGTGTTGTATGTTCTTGATCAATTCTCTCAGAATTTAGACAATTATTTAATTATAAGTTTTTAAAAAAGGGAAAAAAATAAGTAGATAGATCAAGGCAGTCAAGTGAGGCATCCTTGGAGTCTCAGCTCAGAGCATAAGCCATCCCAATTATGCCACATACTGGAAGTGGTGTCAAAAAGATGTGTAAAATACAGAAAGCTTGTGCTGTACATGAGACATCACAAGAGAGAGTGATGTCAACACCTGAACTTTGGTAGAAAAATAACCAGCCCTGAGGAGTTGGACAAGATTTCTGTAATGTAATTTTTGAAACATGTAGCTGTATACCTGTAATGCATCCCTCCAACCTCATGTATTGTATATGCCATCTGTTGCACCGAAATGTGACTTTGTAAAATATAACTTTCATATTTGTTTATCTAATATTACATTGTGATTATTCTCATTAATAGCTAAAATGAGAATAATCAGCTTTATAATATTATATACATGTATTCATTTTCATCTTTCCCATTATCATTATATGTATATACTATTTATATGATTATTTTGGTTAGGAAATGGATTGTTCACCATGGGTGACGACCAATTTATGTTTGTGTGGCCTCACCTCTGTACTACTCGCCTGATGCGAGCTGGCGTCAAGTGTGAGTGGTGTGGGTTAGGCAGTACAACACCTGTCTCGGTCTTGAGAAGGTCTTCCTTTCCTGCTCATTTACTTTGATTAAGAAACTATCTGGAGTATAGTATTATTCTCTTAGTCTCCAGAAAGTGCTAGTATACTTGTGACACTTTCACTTAGATGCTCTCTTGTGTTTAAGAGACTTCAATTACTCTGGTCAAATGTGTAAGTGTTTAAAACTTTGATCATCTCCAGAAACAGACTCTAACTTTATCAATTCTATGTATAAAGACCTTTTCAGCCAGAATAAAGGTCATTGTAACTGTATATGATTATAAGTCTGTCAAAGTGTTTGTAACTAATTGATAAGTAAAAGGTACCATTAAAATACCGTAAGACCATAAAGTAATATATGTTATATTAAAAGAGATATTTTATGAAGTTTTTCGATCTTCTTTATACTAAAATTCATCTGCACAAAAGACTGAATTATATCATTATATCTTTTTGGGTCACCCTGCCTCGGTGGGAGACGGCTAACTTGTTAAAAAAAAAATGTATATAATTTCTTATTACGATTTCCCATGAGTATACTTCATAGTGAAGATCCCCTAGATTCATGCCATAAATGCTTTACAAATCCTTTGGAATATCGCAATACCATCTCTGTATCATCAATGTATTTTCTGTATCATATTACATAATAAAATATACCTATTTGTGAAATTATAAAAAAAGATGGGGTGGTAGTGTAAGTGGAATATTCAAATGGCTTCAGAGAGAAATCTAAACATTTTTTTTTACCTCAAAGCCTTATTACCTACTTTTCCAAGGCTATGGTCCATTACAATTTGCAGTAAGGGTGGACCCTATCTATATAAAATAATTTGGATTTTTTATTTTTAGATATGCTAAATAAAAAGTGTTTTATTTCTTCATTTTTTTACAGCTGAGTACCAGTAGTTGAAATCTGTCCTTGTTGAACATCATATTGTTTTCTGTGGCCCGCTGGAAGACCTGATTTAAGTCAGCTTGAGATTTGCTGTGTTACTGGATTCCACTTTCGTAAATACAGAAGACCCTCAGCTAACGATATTAATCCGTTCCTGAAAGTTAATCGTTAGCTGAATTAATTTTCCTCACAAGAAATAATGGAAATCAAATTAATCTGTGCAAGACACCCAAAAGTATGAAAAAAAAAATTTTACCACATGAAATATTAATTTTAACCCGTAAACGGTCCAAACGTATATATACGTTTTCTCAACATTTGAAAGTATGTAAAAAAAAGTAGATCTTTTTGTTTTTTTACATTTGAAAATGTGCAAAAAAACTTTGATCTACTTTTTTTTTTGTTATACAGTGGACCCCCGCATAGCGAACGCATCGCATAGCGAACAATCCGCATAGCGAACGCTTTGTTCGCTGAAATTTTGCCCGCATAGTAAAACAAAAACCCGCTCAGCGAACTTCGTCCGAGACGCGTCCAATGTGCGGCCTCAGCCAGCCTCACATGTGCCGCCCGTCCCATTGTTTACCAGCAGCCTCGGGGGTAACATCCAAGCATACACTCGGAATATTTGGGTATTATTACAGTGTTTTCGGTGCTGTTTGTGGAAAATAAGTGACCATGGGCCCCAAGAAAGCTTCTATGCCAACCCTACACACAAAGGGAAAAGAATACCCATTGAACTTAAGAAAGAAATCATTGATAAGTATGAAAGTGGAGTACGTATCACCGACCTGGTCAGGTTGTACAAGAAACAAAATCAACCATCGGTTTATTGTGGGCAAGGAAAACGGCAATCAAGGAAGCTGTTGTTGCCAAAGGTTTAACTGTGTTTTCGAAACAAAGATCGCAAGTGATGGAAGATGTTGAGAGACTCTTATTGGTGTGGATAAATGAAAAACAGCTAGCAGGAGATAGCGTCTCTCAAGCGATCATATGTGAAAAGGCTAGAAGTTGCATGACGATTTAATTAAAAAAATGCCTGCAACTAGTGATGATGTGAGTGAATTTAAGGCCAGCAAAGGTTGGTTTGAGAGATTTAAGAAGCGTAGTGGCATCCATAGTGTGATACGGCATGGTGAGGCTGCCAGTTCGGACCACAAAGCGGCTGAAAAATATGTGCATGAATTCAAGGAGTACATAGAAACTGAAGGACTGGAACCTGAACAAGTGTTTAATTGTGATGAAACAGGCCTGTTCTGGAAGAAAATGCCAAGCAGGACCTACATTACTCAGGAGGAAAAGGCACTCCCAGGACATAAGCCTATGAAAGACAGGCTTACTTTGTTGATGTGTGGCCAATGCTAGTGGTGATTGCAAAGTTAAGCCTTTATTAGTGTATCACTCTGAAACTCCCAGAGCGTTCGGCAAAAGAATATCCTCAAGGATAATTTGTGTGTGCTGTGGAGGGCAAACAGTAAGGCATGGGTCACTAGGGAATTTTTCTATAACTGGTTACACCATGCATTTGCCCCCAATGTGAAAGATTACCTAACTCAAAAGAAATTAGACCTTAAGTGCTCCTGGTGTTAGACAATGCCCTGGTCATCCTACAGACGTGGCAGAGCGACTTTATGGGGACATGAGCTTCATTACGGTGAAGTTTTTGCCTCCTAATACCACTCCTCTCCTGCAGCCCATGGACCAGCAGGTCATTTCCAACTTCAAGAAACTGTACACAAAAGCTCTGTTTCAAAAGTGCTTTGAAGTGACCACAGACACTGGATTGACTCTAAAAGAGTTTTGGAAGGATCACTTTAATATCCTCAGTTGTGTAAACCTTATAGGTAAGGCTTGGGAGGGAGTGACTAAGAGAACCTTGAACTCTGCTTGGAAGAAACTGTGGCCAGAATGTGTAGACAAAAGGGATTTTGAAGGGTTTGAGGCTAACCCTGAGATGATTATGCCAGTTGAGGAATCCATTGTGGCATTGGGAAAGTCCTTGGGGTTGGAGGTTAGTGGGGAGGATGTGGAAGAGTTGGTGGAGGAGGACAATGAAGAACTAACCACTGATGAGCTGATAGATCAACTTCAAGAGCAAGAGGCCAGACCTGGGGAAACTGGTTCAGAGGAGGGGAGAGAGAAATTGAAGGAATTGCCTACTTCAAAGATTAAGGAAATGTGTGCAAAATGGCTTGAAGTGCAAACCTTTTTTGATGAAAATCACCTTAACACAGCTATTGCAAGCCATGCTGGTGACTATTACAATGACACTGTTGTGAAACACTTTAGGAAAGTCATAAAGGAACGAGAGGTACAGGCCACTATGGACAGATATCTTGTGCGACAGAAGTCCAGTGACTCTCAAGCTGGTCCTAGTGGCATTAAAAGAAGAAGGGAAGTAACCCCAGAAAAGGACTTGCTACCTCAAGTCCTAATGGAAGGGGATTCCCCTTCTAAACACTAACACTCTCTCTCCCCTCCTCCCATCCCATCAATCATCACCAGATCTTCAATAAAAGTAAGTGTCATGTAATTGTGCATGCCTTTTTCAGTTTGTGTGTACTAAAATTAACATTTTTTTGTGGTAAAAAAATTTTTTTTTAATACTTTTGGGTGTCTTGCACGGATTAATTTTATTTCCATTATTTCTTATGGGGAAAATTAATTCGCATAGCGAACATTTCGCATAACGAACAGCCCTCTTGCACGGATTAAGTTCGCTATGCGGGGGTCCACTGTATTTGAAAATATGTAAAAAAGCATAGATCTACTTTTGTAGCACTACACATGTGAACGTAGATCTGCTTGGATTGTTTACGGGTTAATACACAAACTGACACTTACCTTTATTGAAGATCTGGTGATGATTGATGGGATGGGAGGAGGGGAGTGTGTGGAAGTTGTTAATGTTTAGAAGGGGAATCCCCTTCTATTAGGACTTGAGGTATCAAGTCCTTTTCCGGGGTTACTTCCCTTCTTTTAATGCCACTAGGACCAGCTTGAGAGTCACTGGACCTCTGTCGCACAACAAATCTGTCTATAGAGGTCTGTACCTCCCGTTCCTTTAAGATTTGCCTAAAATGGGCCACAACACTGTCATTGTAATAGTCACCAGCATGGCTTGCAATAGCTGTGTTAAGGTGATTTTCATCCATAAAGGTTTGCAGTTCAACCCACTTTGCACACATTTCCTTAATCTTTGAAGTAGGCACAATGGATTCCACAACTGACATAGGCATCTCAGGGTTAGCCTCAAACCCTTCAAAATCTTTCTTAATTTCCATGCTAATTCTCACCCTTTTTATCACAGGGTTGGCACTAGAAGCTTTCTTGGGGCCCATGGTGACTTATTCTGCAGGTACAATCACTAAAAACACTGTGATAATATGAAATGTTCCGATTGTATGCGTGGATGCGACCGCACTGGCTGGCTTGTAAACACTGGCACCCACGGGACAACTGAGGCGCGCTCAGGCCACACATGGACGCGTCTTGAACGAATCGCATTGGGCGAGTTTTTTAGCGTTAGCCGAGGCAAAATTTTTGCGTTAAAATGTATCGTTAGCTGGACTTAACGTTAGCTGATGCCATCGTTAGCTGAGGGTCCACTGTACAAGCTGACTCCACTTTACAGCATTTAGCTAGTGCAGTGGTTTTCAATTATACTCATTCTTCACTTATTCAGACTTCCTGCAATAAATCTATTCCCTACTCACTAACAGTTAAGGACAAAAATATTTTAAGTAAAATGTGTACTGTACATGCATTTTATATACTGGTTCTATTGACCACTTAACCCTTTGAGGGTTTCGGACGTACTAGTACGTCTTATGCGCAGGGGTTTTTGACGTACTAGTACACATAAATTCTAGCGCCGTCAAATCTCGCGGGAAAAGGCTGGTAGGCCTCCATATGAAAGAATGGGTCTATGTGGTCAGTGTGGACGGTATAAAAAAACTCCTGCAGCACACAGTGCATAATGAGAAAAAAAAAACTTTGACCGTTTTTTTAGAATAAAACAGCCACTTTGCACTATATTTTCGTATGGTATTTATTGTTGTATTCTAGTTTTCTTGGTCTCATTTTATAGAATGGAAGGCATATCACAGAAATTGAGATGATTTTGACTGGTTTTACAATGAAAAGTACCTTGAAATTGAGCTCAAAGTAGCAGAAATGTTCGATTTTTCCCAAAGTTCAAAAGTAAACAAATCATGCAAGCGTCCAATACACGTCAACTGGTGAGTCTAATATTCTTTTGCAAGTGCGCCAATATGATTTATACCATTTTTTTACACTAATGCAGCAGTCTGCATAACAGTAAATCTTCTATTTTTTGTGAGAAAAAAAATTTTCAAAGTGGAAAGCAGAAGAATGTAAGAGGGGCCTTGAGACGTGACTAATGAACAGAGGAAATGTCATTTTAGTGCCAGGAATGTATTTTTGTTTGTTCTGGACCCTATTCGGAAATTTGGCATTTTTTGAAATTTGTGTGAAAATTGGCAAAATTGCTAAATTCTGACCACTGTATTGGATAGTTGAAAATGGTAAAATGGGTGGTTTTTGCCAAATTATTCATAGAAAAAATTAGTTCTAGCGAAATATTTATGTTTTTGGTCGACTAGTTTCAGTGGAATTGGCCGAAAATGGGGCTCAAAGTTTGGGGAAAATCGCCGATGCGCAAACATCGCCAGACCGCAACCCTTTGCAAGAGCATTTAAATTTCCCTAAGTTTTCCATCAAATCTCCTAATTTTGGTGTCATTATGATCAGGAAAAGATTATCTTTTCATAAGATTTTTTTTTTTTTTTTTTTTTTAAATTTGGCCGACCCTGAGAACGAGTTTCTGAGAGGGCCAGTCGACCCTCAAAGGGTTAATATATGATAGTGTAAACTGTTATGGCTTTTTATATGCATTGAAATTAAAAAAAGGCTGTTTCACTTTACAGTGATTTTTAATGTACGCAGCAGCCCAGAACCTACCTGTTGTATAAGCGGGGGCCCGCCTGTATTAATACCATCTGCCCAAAGTATGTTAATATTGCTATTATTTATATCTATTCCAATATCTGTTATGAAAATGAGAACAAAAAATTGGAACAAGTGCTGTGCCCTGCCCTGCAGATTGGATGTCTTCATGGTTTGGTGACATCTAAATTTAGTTTCTTGGGTATAATTTCTTAAAAATTGAAGTTCAAACTGCCCACTTTTTCCAAGCATCATACACAGATTAACTCTTTCAGGGTCCATGCTGTAGAGCTGGC